CCGGCCTATCTACACTCGACCAGGAGTTCTTCATACGACCCGGAATCATGCTTTGTTCTCTAAATTTCGATGCTAGTGGCGTCCCGACCCCCGCCTCTCCAATATTTCACGTGCCGATGACCCCTTGGCCATTTGGTCTGGGGAAAATCTGGGGTAGGTACATGCACATTATTCGTACTACATAAAGACGCGATTTGCTCGCCAGGATTGAATATCTACCCAACGCCATCTTTCAACTCCTTCATCAATCATCTTACTCAGACATCATGGGGACATCTGTTGTTGATGCAACGCATGTTGCGGTGCAGCGTCGATCGTGGACTTCGCACATCATCCACAACCCACGATTGATCTTCTCCAGCTTCACACTCGCGCTCGTATTCTTTACTTTTGGCTTCGATGGTTCCGTCATGGGCGGGATTCTCGCAATGCCCCCTTTCATTCACCAATTCGGAACTGGCAAGTCCCCCAAAGGACCAGTTCTCACGTCTACCGATATAAGCGTTATGACCGCTGTCCCTACTACTGGATGCCTTCTCGGACTTCCTCTCGCAGCATATTGTGGAGATCGATGGGGACGACGCAAAACCCTCATCTTTGGATGTGTCTTGAGTGCTGTAGCTGCAGCGATCCAGACGTCTGCCTTTGGCATGGCACAGCTGGTCATTGGGCGTTGGCTGGCTAATGCAGCCATCTTTCTTTTCATCGTAATGGGATCGACCTTCTTAGCCGAAATCGCACCAGACGAGCTACGTGGAGTCCTCATTGGACTGTCCATCGTCACCATTGACGCAGCAGCGGTGCTTTCCAACGGAATCAACTGGGCTGTCAGTACCGATATGACTCAATTCGCCTACCGATTTCCCATGGGCTTGCAAATCGCCTTTCCTATCGTTCTGGTCATTGGCTTCATCTTTATAGATGATTCTCCAACCTTCTACCTGACTCGCAGTGAAGACTCGCGAGCCCTCAAGAGTCTACGCACGGTGCGAAGAGGATACAACGAACAGGAAATCGAAGCAGAGTTTGCTGCATTAAAGGCACAGGCAGCGTTGAGGGCCCAGGATGTCGAGGTACCGTGGACGCACATCTTCCAAGGAGTCAATCTTCGCCGCACGTTGCTGGCGCTTAGCATTGCCAACATGCAGCAACTTTCTGGCATCGTGTTTGCGACCAACTACGCTGTGATTTTCCTCGCTACTATCGGTAGCAAGATAAGCCCGTTTCTTCTTGCCCTAGCAACCTCGATCTTGGCCTTTGGCGGCGCGATAGCAGGCCTGTTCGTAGTAGATGCGGTCGGTCGACGTCCACTGGCGCTGACTACATTCGTAATCTTGTTCTTCATCAACCTGGTTATCGGTGTCTTGGGGTTCACCAACTACCTTCACAACCAGAGCCTTAGCCAAACCATCGCCGCTTTCTGCTGCATGTTTGCTTTCTTCTTCGCCGCGGGCTTCGGGCCATTGACATATGTCGTTTCTGGAGAGATGCCAACTGCTCGCTTGCGAAATAAGACGAGTGCTTTTTCCTTCTTCGTTCTGGCCTGCTTCTCGACTGCTGTCCAATACATCTTCCCGTACATTGCCAATGCTCCGTAAGTTCACCTATTCTGCTGTCCTTGAGGGCTTTTAGTGATTGCAGAGATTCTAATAAATCATCAGTGCCAACCTTGGACCCAAGACTTATCTTATATTTGCGGGATGGATGCTGGGATGCATTATTGTAACTTTCTTCTGGTTCCCCGAGACCAAGGGACGGACCCCAGCTGAGCTGGATGAGATGTTTGAGGCGCGCATTCCTGCGCGACAATTCAAAAGTAAGGGCCTTGTTTCTTTTGGCAAATGCAAGAAAATTTTGCTAACTGAATCATAGATTATGTGTGCAGTGTGAATATTGAAAACTTCATGAATGAAGATAAGGCTGGGGTGGAAGTGACGCAGATCGAGAAGCTGTGAGGCGTATCCTCTCGGCTCAAGAGATTGTAAATAGGCCGACTTGGCTCGAACGGTCCTTAGCAAAGGTGACGCTTTGGATTTTCTCGATATGGCTGCGTCGTGAGGAGATATCCTAGATGGTAACAACTACAATAATGCATGAAACGTTTTATCGATGTATACTATGTTACAGAATGTCCACATCCACTTACTGGAAAAGCCTTTTACATCCCAAGCCCGTCCTTGCTCTTTAAATCCTCATTGTAATCGTTTTCCTCATAATTACTCAAGCAAGCTCCAAATCACACAGCATCCGCATAAACGGCCTCAAATACGGATGTTTCCCGCCGCGAAACGACGCGAAAATTACAAGAAACCGATTGACGAAATCAGCTAAACACGGAGTACTTTTCGGGTACACTATCTCCTCATCCCAAGCGCTTCCTTCTCCCTCATTCAAAGCGGGCTCGATTACCGACCCCACTGGCCAGGATAGAATGACATCTCGGTCAGAACCGAGCGCAGCACTCGCCAAATGCGGCATCGCAGAGCCAACCTCCATCGGCTGTGTCGCCTTAATCGCACTGGTAACGATATCGTAAAGTTTCTCGACCTTGAAAAGCGTGAGCTTCGACAATCGACGTCAATAGATAAATGGGAGCTACTCACCAGTCCGATGCCATGGCATTCCAGGGATGGCATATCGAGGGATTCGCACGTGTCGATACTATCGTGTGCGATTGTTAATGCGTAGTCTGGTCTCATCTGCGCTACTGCGTTTTTCTCGTGCAGGAACCCGTGGCGGGAGCCGAGGTCCCACAGGATGTGGCAGATCCAATGTCTCGTAACCAGTACATCGGCTCTTTGGGCATCGTTTGGGGATTCGCGCGTGGACATGGGTTCGGTGTATCGTTGCAGCAGTGTGGAAACGGTCTTTGCGGAGATGTGGGTGGGGCTTGCGTCGTTCCAGCATTGGTTGCGCCAGCATTTCACGAAGGTGGAGTCGACGAAGTCGATTAGGTCGACCATGTAGCCGAGGCCTGCGATGGCTTTTTCGTCGGGTTGGCCGGAGTTGGTGGAGAGTTGGGTTAGGGTTGTGCGGACCGTGTGGAGGCGGCTGCTAGTGAGGAGGTAGTCGTTTATGGGGCTGTCTCTTTGAATGGCGTATACGCTGTTATTATGCATTAGTTATAGCGATAGGGGATAGAGGGGGGTGGTTTTGTATGGCCACGTACCGATGAATTACCGTCAAACAAAGAAAGGTCCTCAACCTCCTATTTTTCTCGTCCCGGGAGATATTCTCGTACGTTTGCGGACCATCCAAGCCCATGGTTTCAGCCAAAGTAATTGCTTCTCGAAGCCGAAATCTAGCAGCGTGATGATTGCCCTTAGAAAACTGACAACCAAACAAAAACACGCTTGTGAGAACGTGCTCCAGGACTGGGTTCTCGCCAAAGTCGGCGTGAGAGTGCAATCGCACGGCTTCTGCGAGTAGCCGTTCTGCTTGATCGATGTTAATCGACGAGCGGGGGTTTTCAGATCCTTTTTGCATCATCTGGAAGACGGTCAAGGCACTGATTGCATGAATCAGTGCGTTGAATGACTGGTCGTATAGGGGTCTTTGAGCATGTATGTTATCGAGCAAGTAGGAGCGCTCAAAGAAAGGCATTGACGCGTGAAGTCGGTCTAGGAAGAGATTGATAATGTGAAAGATGCTCTCAGTGGTTGCAGGACGTGAAATCTGGAGAGTTGTTTCGAGAGGATACCCGAAGTTTTCATCATCCATAGGCCATGGCGGGTTTGCGATTGGCTCTGGTATCGTGTTCACATGTAATGAAGGGACATCCCCAAGCGGGACAGCATCTCCTCTTACTGGAATTGTAATACTAGGGGCCATGCTGAACTTGATCCAGTCGAAGCTGTCAATATCGGCATGTTGGTTGATTGATAGGAGAAAGTCGTCAATAGTCTCGCTTGCCGCTACAGTACCAATATTTTGAACATCTATCGTTTCGGGCGATGAACTTGCTTGTCCATCTTCAAACTCTCTCTCGATGGAAATATTGAGATTGGGCGTCTCGAACCTTGAAGAGCTTGAGGGTGTTTCATTTGCAGCGGGTTTGGTGCCTGGTCTTGATTCTTGTTAGCATCGCATCTATCGATTTCAAGGCTTCTTGTATCAGTAGCCAGGCCATTACAATAACATATCAACTATCACGGCATAAAGGTATTGGAAAGACCCACATGAGTTGTGTGCGTCGGCGATACTGGGATCGGCGCTTGTATGTACATGGTCTATGATTTGCAACACATGTATGGCAGGGTGCATGTCGACTACACTGCCGAAACAGGTATAGTTAGATTGCTTGTTGATAGTTCAAGGATGGGCCATCAGTAAACCTACCTTGTTCTTATGCACAAAACATTGATCGCATGAGCGTGGTTGGACAGTTCGGACGAGAGTGCTGTCGAAAATGACCTCTTCACCCATTGTAGCTACGCAAGCAGCAGAAGGTAAAACATCAGTTATCTAGCCGTGAGCAATGCATCCAGTCGCTACGTCGCTCTGCTGAGCTGTGGATCGTTGTATGGCACGGATGATGTCGTATGTCCTGTCAGACATGCATAGAACTGCAGGTGGTGTTTGGCACCTCATCACGTGATGCTCGTGCGCCCCACGGGGTAATTGCCGGGGTCCCATTGACAACGCAAATGCCGAACCCGCGACATTACCCACTCGACGCGCCAGCCCCGCTCCTTAACCCTTCTCGTCGAATCTCCATCTCGCGACGAACCGCATCTCGACCAGAGCTATAACTGTTTGGGCAAATTCCCATGATCCGACGTCGAGGCTCTTAGTATCACGCCGTGGGTGTTTTGAACACCTAGCCATTGACTGCAACGCCCACCCTATCCTGTAACAGCACACACCCGTAGCTGCCGTCATGGTCGCCTTGAAAGACTTTGCCGTAACTACCCAGGATGATCTTCTTAATGGAATGAAATCTGATAGACTACATCCCTCGATTACTCTCCTTCCGAGTTTTTGGCGCAATGACTTCACACATGCTAGTAACCGCACCCCCGACTACTCCTTTCACGTTCAAAAAGGTGCCCGGAGTGAGTGTATTCTCTACCCCTCTGGTCTCCGAAGCGACACCTGAACCGAGTGAACGATGGCGACCACGCCTACATCTCGTGGCTCCTCGTGGTTGGCTCAACGACCCTTGCGCCCCTGGATACGACCCGGTCAATAAAAAGTATCATCTGGGTTTCCAGTGGAATCCAAACAGCACAGAATGGGGCAACATTTCCTGGGGTGCAGCAGTATCCCACGATCTTCTCACATGGAAAGTCTCAGATCGCCCATCTATGCAGCCCTCTGCACAGTGCGATTCGGGCGGTGTGTTCACCGGCTGTCTGATACCCACTGCAATCGATGGTTCAGAGAGCGGCGTCCTGACAGCAGCGTATACATCAGTGTCTCGTCTCCCAATTCACTACACGCGGCCATATTTCCGAACATCAGAGGCAATCGCTTTGGCTACATCAACCGACTCTGGCAGGACATGGATTAGACATGCGAAGAACCCTGTCCTCGCAGAGCCCCCGCCGGGCATCGACGTGACCGGCTGGCGAGATCCGTTCGTAGCTCCCTGGCCGAGCATGGATAAACTCGTTGATCAGCATCGAGTGAACCGAGACACCAGATCATTGTATGCTGTCGTAGCCGGAGGAATTCGAGGGAAGACACCGACAGCCTTTCTCTACCAAGTGGACGCAAATGCGCTGGATGCATGGCAATATCTTGGCCCTTTGATTACCCCTGGCCTGAACTTTTGCCCTTCGCCTCGCTGGACAGGAGATTTTGGCGTGAACTGGGAGGTGAGTAATTTTGTATCCCTGGCAAGTGCAGATGGCAAGGCATGCCGCAACTTTCTCATTTGTGGCGTCGAAGGTCGGTTAGCTACCGACGACATGATTCGCACCAAAGGCAACTTCCGGGCGACCAATGCGCAAATGTGGCTTTGCGGCAGCCTCGAGACTGCGCCGGGTGTGCATATGAAGTTCCGTTTCGGAGGCAGATTGGACCATGGCCTGTACTATGCTGGCAACTCGTTCTGGGATCCGCAAACACAGCAGCAGGTCATATACGGCTGGATTCGCGAAGACGACCTCGATGCAGAACTGCGTCAGCGACAAGGATGGACTGGTATCATCTCCTTGGCACGAGTTCTCAAAATGCAGGCCTTGACGGGTGTTACCGGAGCCTTGTCGTCTCCACTTCAATCTATCGGTTCCATCGAATTGGTGCCTGAAGATACACATGGCTCGAGCTTCACTGCTATCACGCTGTGCGCAGTGCCCGATCCTCGATTATGCAAGCTGAGAGGCTGTAGGTTTCCCTCAAAGGAAACTCCGGAGCAAAGCCCCGGAGGTATCTTTGTGTTTCCTGTAGCCTGGCGGCAGTGGGAGATGGAACTAGAATTCAGACCAGAAGAAGGCGCTGCCAAGTTGGGTTTTGATATTGTACATTCAGCTGGTAAGTACGTGGATGAGACAAAAAGAAATTCGCGGACTAAGGCAAAGCTTACAGCGGAATTTACCCGCGTTTACTTTGATGTAAATGCGGAGACGATTGTCATTGACCGGAGTTGCTCCACATCTCTAGATGGGATCCGAACATGTCAAGAGGAAGCGCCTCACACGCTGTTCACGATTAGGCAGCGGGGCAAAGACAGCCCCTTTACCGAAAAGGGGATACTCGAAACCTTGAAGTTCCACGTCTTGTACGACTCCAGCGTGCTTCAGGTGTTTGTGAACGAACGCACAGCACTGACCACAAGGGTTTATCCCGCTGGCGGGACGAGCACGGGTATCCGCCCGTTGGTGGAGCGAACATGTTATCATTCTAGCAACACTGGAGGGCCAAAGTCTCGGGCTTGGAATATGGCTCTGTGGCCTCTCTCGCTTTCTGTCTAAAGGGGCTCGTCAGTTGCCCCTGTGATGTACATAGAAGAAGTGGGCAGGTGTGCCTAATCTACTTACAAACCACCCTTTGCGATAAGTACGTGCATAATCGCTCTCGCTCCCGTGAAGCCATTGCTGAATCGCGTGAGTGCATATATTTCGGATCTGATATCCGATCACAAAGTGCAGGCCTGCCAGGGATGTGGATGCGCTCTTACGGGTGCACTAATGGCACGCACACGCGCTTGGGCATTACTAAGTAAGTACTAGTAAGTACTAGTAGTACGTAGTAGGAGTAGCGCCAACACCTCCGACCCTCCGACCCTCCGAGCCCCGTCCCCCGAAACCATCTCCTTCACTCAGCACGGCCACCCAAGCGCATGGCAAAGCAGGTACACAACGCCGCAAGGGAATCGCGCCATAATGCTGGTCCATGCAGCATGCGAGAAGTCTCTTTGCCTTACTATATTGTCGCCAACATGCCATTCTCCTTAACCTCACCCATGTGGCCTTATGTGTGCTGATCTGTCTCTAGGGGAGCTTAGCTTACTAGCATGTGATCCTTCCCGTCATCCCCATCAACAGCCACAGCGCCATCAATGCTGGAGCCCAACTCGCCTATCATGAACAGGGCCAAGCGCATGTACGCGCGGTATGACCATTGCACCCCGGCTTTCTTCCCAGCACATAGTGCTGCTGAGCCTGCCATTCAACAATAATACTCGTATATCAGATCCTACGCATCATGCTATCCTGGAGAACGGACATTCAGCTCGGAAACATCAACGCGAAGTGACTTTGAGAAGTGCCAGAAAGAGCCAGTCATAATTAGGGCACTGGTTGACGGGCTATCAGCGAAAACCATGTAAATGCATACGTACTCCAGGCTACCATGAACGCTAGGAGAATGATTGGAGATGAATGGAGGTGCGCAACAAGCGCAACCATTGCGATGCTGGCACCTTTGCCAAGCACAGTGTCTTCACATTCCTGAAATATCAGTACCTTCAGCTGAAACATGGCATGAGGAGGATATGCGGCCAAGGTGTCGTTCTCGTGAGCACATAAAATGCAAGGTGCGTTACTGCTGCACGGCTTGACTCGCTGCAGGCTTCCCAGCAAGGTGGCGCTGCCATTTTGTAAATACGGAAATATGGACAATAGGCGAAAATGCTCCACACCGCGACTCACATACTCTTTCGGCTACTATGCCTGCTGTAATATCCCCAGTTTCATCATGGCTTGCATGGCCCAGAGCAGTGTGCCCAGTGTCACAAAGGTCGGGACCTAAGTGTTGCTGTATGCCATTCGTTGGTGACGACAAAGTTGGACCAGTATTTTGGGGTTGATGAGCCCTTGACCCGAGCCAATCACTCTTTGTTGGCAAGTAGACTTGGAGACTGATGGCTGCATGGCCATTTCACTGCGAAAACCTGATGTGTGCCCACCTGAGTAGGATACGTGCCGGCTTGGCTGGATAGCTGAATTGCGAATACAGCAGAACAAGCAATTATAAAAAACGCTTGGCTGCAATACTCTGGAGAGCCTGCTGTGCTTGGGTAAGTACATGGGCGAGGAACGAACCGTATGGGCAGATACGAAGTGTAACTGAACAGTCCTCGCTCGCTTGATGAAAGTTTGTCAACTGTTGGGAATGATGCGCACAACAAGAAGCACCCGTTGATGCTCCAGAGCAGTCACACGGGTCAGCATCGATTAGCAACGTGCTGGTAGGAACTATAAAGTTTATCTCGTAGGGCTCAGACAAGGAGAGGCAACATTGGCATGGTCCCTAGGCCTCCAGCTAGTGACGCAACCAAGCCACGCATGAATGAATTCCGGGGTCAGGCACATGTTGCTAAGTACTTAGTGTAAACAAGGTCGGTACTTGTGCGCTCTCTGGTTCGCGAACGGTGAACAGGGCGTACAAGCTTCGTGTGCTGAGTCGTGCAGTATGTCGAATCTCAGCGATACCCGACTTGGTTAACCAACCAAGCATGCAGATGTACATATCAGGAAATCAGCACCACGCTGCGGCTGACCTTGTCCCGCAGACGCGGCATCGTGGATCGGACAGGATCTCCGCAAGCGACTTGGTCGTGTTCCAGTGACCAAGCCGTCGGAGGGGGGCCATTGTGTGGCGCGGCGCATGCACATGCAGGTCATGGCCTGACATGCAAAAGCGCGGGCGAGGCCATGAAAGTCGCAAATGGGCGCAAATGAGCAGCAGAATCACATTTCAAGGCACGCCATTGTTGGACGCCCAAATCCGCGACCCCAAGCACTTGGCCAACCGTACGGCGTTGCGTGCATGGCCAGCCTGCCCGCGCCAATCACACAGCCTCGCCACCGACCCGGGGAAGATGATCCGGCCGCCTGTCTGGAACGGCGTCCCCCTTTCTCTTTCGCCATCCCGTCCATCTACTACGCTTGGTTCTATCTACACTGCACACACGGACACACGGACACACACACCTTTCCCACCTCTTGCGATCACCCGCAAGGTTTGCCATGGCGAGGCGGCGCGTGCCATCGGCTGGTTTTGCCCACCCATATTCCTCGTTTACTCCCCCACTCCGCAGACCCCCCTCATACCCTATCTTCTGTAGATTAATCCCTTGTCCTCATGTGCTCTCCATGTCTTTCTCGCAGATCATCGTCATCTGTTCCGTCCGGGCTCGCACCTAGTTAGAACACCCTCACCCCTCCTCCAGGCACCCGTCGCCTCCGCCATGGCCCAAGAGAAGGAGATAGGCATCGTCGGTGGTGTCACTGCAAGTCTAGGCATCTTGATGACCATGGCTGCTTTTCTTGCCATCTCAATGTACAACGTTATCGAGATCATGTTCCTGATCTTTGCCGTCTTCAAGCAGCGCACAGGACTGTACTTTTGGAGCTTCTTCATTGCAACCTTCGGCATCGCTCCTCACGCGATTGGATTCGTCCTCAAGTTCTTCCAAGTCACCAAGATGGATCTGTTGTCAAGCGCCATCATCGGTGTCGGTTGGGCATGCATGGTCATCGGACAATCCGTCGTCCTCTATTCGCGTCTGCATCTGGTTGTTCGGGACAAGGCTCGGATTCGCTGGGTTTTGTACATGATCATCTTCACTGGCGTCGTCCTCGGCGTCCCACTATTTACCCTAGCCATGGGCGCCAATTCCAAGCATTCCGCTCGCTTCCTCCCCGGTTTCTTGATTTATGACAAGATACAACTTGTCGTCATCGTTGTCCAGGAAACAATCATATCCATGATTTACATCTACGAGACGGTCCTCCTGCTTGGTGGCCATGACGGCAAGGCTCCGAAGCCCATCAAGAAGCTCCTCAGACATCTCATCCTTGTCAATGTCATGGTCCTGATCTTCGACATCACCCTTCTCGCCGTCCAATTCTCAGGCCACTACCAAATCCAAACAACCTACAAGACAGCCGTGTATAGCGTCAAGCTCAAAATCGAGTTTTCAGTCCTCAACCGCCTTGTCAGCATCGTCAAGCACAAAGACTTACTAAGCAATAAAAGGACACTCGGCACCAATTCCCTCAATCTCAGCAGATGGACCGGAATCAAAAAGTCACACCACGACACGGGGGATAGCAGCACAGGCCCCTTCACCAAGATGGACGAGTTTAGCTTACAATGCCAGAGTAGAAAGGAGTCTGTAAAAACGTTTGAAGCAAGCGTCGATCACATTGGAATCATGCCGCCGGGAAATGGTAGCATGCCAGATTTAGAATCAGGGACGAACCAGCTATTAGCGCCTGAAAAGGCAAAGTCGATAGAACTTACGCAACGGCTGCGATGACAGGAGTCTTACTGCGTGCGCTTGTATTTGTACTACTACAGGATAAGAACCCTTTTCCAACTAAAAAGTAAAATAATGAATTTCCGTACTACTCCAATGCTTGTTGACCCACGAATGCTTCAATCTGTCGATTACGTTTCTCCCCGAGTCGTCCCATCCTTTCGGTCTCAGCGTGGTGAGTAGCGTACGTTGGCACTACCGACGACTTTTTCCCATATAAGCAAGACGCACAACGCATTACACATTCATGCCGAACTCAAGAAGAGCATCAATGCTCCGGAACAAATTGCTTCCCTTACCTGCTTTCTTGCATACGCGGTATCTCCCCCCGATTAATTAGCAGAACCTCCCCACTGCAAAGCACAATGCGTTGTATTATCCTCAGACCCTGAACCGTGTTGATTCGAGAAGGGAAGGAATGAGCGGTTGGCTCTTTGAGAGACGCGGGGTTAAGGATGGGGGGCATGGCTAAGCGATCATGCTATTGCGAGGGGGATACTGAGGTCGATGGGATTTATACGGTTCTTTCATGATGTTTTCTTACGAGGATTGGAAGTGTGGGACACGGTGAAATCTGAGCACCAGGCTTGACTGCGATGGTTATGGAGTGTGATGTGTGCAACGCTGGAACGACGGAGCCTTTTGAAATCTTTTCTTGAAGTGCAGGCTAGCATACCTTCTGCGGGGTTTTTTTATTTGTTTGTTCGGGTTTAATGTCCTATCGAAAGGTTTCCCTTGGGGTATGGGGACGGGCGGAGGCCAGGGCTTACGGTGTTGCAGAACCGCCTGGTTTCGACTATTCATGGGGAGTACAACTTCTGCTGTACTGTGGCAATGGCACCTGATATACTAATTATGCATAGTGCTTTGGCGAATATTCTGTACTTAGCCCAGCTGCTCAGCAACTCCATCAGATTCATTATTGCACTAACTCTATGAGATCGCCAGTCTGTTTTTGCTAAGTTCTTGGTTCCGGTATTGCGCCGTAGTATGCTGCTTAGGGTGGAAAAGCTTCGTTCCTTCAGGCTGGGCAATGGGAATGCGATACCACCTACTCGAAATCTTTTCACACGAAAGCTGTGTCGTAGCTATCTTACTACGAAAGACTGTAGCTAGATCGTTCTCATATTCGAAAGATTGATCATGGATTGAAATCTTTTGACTCGTGCATCGAGTTCTTGCCCTTGGTTTGTAAAATATCCTGGGGCGATGTCCCCGCAACCCATGCGGAAAATCATATCACAGAACCCATGAATCTAATGGCGGTTTGGAAAGTGTGGTTAAATGTCGTTGTATTTGTTGAGAACTTTAAACAATTCCAAAATACTAGTTTTGTGCATGATGATTTTGATCCTACCATCTCGCGCCAGCAAGACACACCCTCGTGCTACTACTAACTCAATAAGTACTCGTGAAATTTTGCTAGCTGGGAACCTTCAAAAATTATCAAAGGAACAAGGTTAGATGTCGTCTGAACTGAGTAGCAATGCAACTACCATTCGAACTGCCGCATCTGCCGGGGAACTATGTATACGAAGTGGTCCTTGCAATGTTACCAGCCGTATCAGGGATAGCGCCTTACCTTATCAGCCTGTTGCCTTTAACCTCGGTCTAGTTTCGATCTCGATCCCGTTAGGTGTCGGATTTCTCCTTCAACCGTTGCTCATCTTAACTCAAGTATCTCTAGCATCATCGGTCTACTTACTACTCAAAGGTGTCACAGTCAGGAACTCGTTTGCCAAGTAGAGCGACAACCCATGCGGCAGTTGGCTCCGTGCAACCATATTAGCTCAGCGCACTTTTGAGATGTTTGGGCAACGTTATTGGCCAGTTAATATAATTCTCCCCATCAACCTGGAGTCGCCGCAAATGAAAACATATATGGACCCTTGTTATTCGTAGACATGCCATTCGTGGACTCGACCAGGAATTGTGATGCAACACTTGTTCACACGCTCGGAACACGGATACACAGTCGAGTTGGAGACTTGAGTCCGGCCCTAGGGTTGGGGACTTGGGGTCGGGCGTTTCCACTTCGCTGTGCCCATGTGCCATCTCGTTATTGATGAAAACAGTGGAATCCAAAGGGACAGAGCCTTGGCGTAGTATAGGAAGCATGTACCCCGCCTCATTACTCGTGGGATTCTAACTTTCCCAATATGTCGGCCTCCGCTTCCGCCCTCTTGGCTTTCTATTCAAGCGGATTTTGATTGTGATACCTTGGTCGTGTCTTGGCTCTCAGCGTTGTGACAAGGGAATAAGAGGAAAGCAAATCCATTCATAAAGTCGTGAATCTATTGCTTATTAGCTCTCGACCATCGATCTTCCCGAGTACCAGGAAGTCATCATGCGCGCCTCTACTCTCGCACTCGCCGTTGCCCCCGCCGTCGTTCTCGGCCAATCTCCTCTGTACGGCCAATGTAGGTCATTCCTCAAATGATCTCTAGATGGTAATGGTTTATTGATCTCGCTTCGAATAGGTGGTGGTATTGGATGGGGCGGCTCCACGACCTGCGTTTCCGGCTCGGTGTGCAACAAGGTCAAGTAAGAGCTCTTTCTAATGAGTCACAGAGATGCTTGAATGAATATTTCGCTTATCATTACTTCCAGTGATTACTACTTCCAGTGCGTTCCTGGTACGGGTGGTGGGTCCCCCGCTCCCACTACTACTGGCAATAGCAACCCTGCTCCTACTGGAGGCAATGGTGGAGGAGGTGGCAGTGGTGGAGGCTCAGGAGCTGCAGGTGGATTGCATGAGAAGTTCAAGGCCAAGGGAAAGATCTACTTTGGCACTGAAATCGACCACTACCACCTGAACAACGCCCCTCTCATGACGATCGCCAAGAACAGCTTTGGACAGATCACCCACGAGAACAGCTTGAAGTGGGATGCTACTGAATGTGAGTGCCCAACTTGTACTTTCACCCGGGATCCATGATCGTAAACTGACTTCTCTTCGTATGTAGCATCACGTGGAAAGTTCACATTCACCAACGCTGATAACGTCGTCAACTGGGCCACCCAGAACGGAAAGCTCCTGCGTGGTCACACACTCCTCTGGCACTCGCAGCTGCCAACATGGGTTACGCAAATCAACGACCGCGCTACCCTGACCTCCGTCATCCAGAACCACGTGACACAGATCGTCACCCACTACAAGGGTAAGATCTTGCAGTGGGATGTCGTGAACGAGATCTTCGCCGAGAACGGCCAACTTCGAGACAGCGTCTTTAGCCGTGTCCTCGGCGAAGACTTTGTTGGTATCGCTTTCCGCGCCGCACGCGCCGCTGATCCCAACGCCAAGCTCTACATCAACGACTACAACCTGGACATTGCCAACTACGCCAAGGTTACCACTGGTATGGTCGCACACGTTAACAAGTGGGTGTCCCAGGGCATTCCCATTGACGGTATTGGCACACAAGCCCATCTTGCCGCACCTGGCGGTTGGAACCCAGCCTCCGGCGTCCCCAACGCCCTCAAGACACTGGCTGGCGCCAATGTCAAGGAGATTGCCATCACTGAGCTCGATATCGCCGGCGCCGCAGCAAGCGACTTCCTGACTGTCATGAACGGTTGTCTTGCCGTTTCCAAGTGTGTTGGTATCACCGTCTGGGGTGTCTCCGACAAGGACAGTTGGCGCGCCAACGACCGCCCTCTCTTGTTCGACACTAATTACCAGCCCAAGCAGGCTTACAACACCTTGGTTGGCGCTTTGTAAGAAGCTTCTGGACTTCAACCGGGTATATAGTGGGGTGCAGTTAGATGGCTAGTGTGTTCTAGCTAGGTGTATATAGCTTCTTTCTCGAATCCTATTGCTAAGCTTACTATTGTTATTTTAGATGATTTGGTATTATGAATGGATGCGCAAGATTCACATTGATCATAGGTTTCTTATGATGTATTGCAATAGCGTGGCGCACACTCTCTACAATTCGTAGCGAACTCAAACAAAGTGACTTCTTGATTCGTTCATACAACAGAGAGAGGCTTTCGTCTGATGCCAAAAGAGTGTCGCCATGTTCTAATTAGCAATACCAATTAACCCTCTGGAGGCGGTATACACCGCCCCACATGGCATAGGGGTAAAAGTTTATTCGACAAGACAAATGCTTTACTTTTTTTTTCTTTCAAAAAGGGACATCAAACCTATTCGTTATAGAGTCTGCAAAAGGAAGAAGAGCGCCATGGCATGTATCAAGGATGAAACAATGGTGTATGCTGTGAAACTGGAGATGGAATAGCAGCCGTTTAAATATATGTAAAATACTGCTGGGTGTTCTGAATACTTTTTCTACCAGCCGTAAAACTTTGATTTTTTTTACTTTTCGTTTCACACGTAATATTACAAGGTCCCAGTATCGAATGTCATACCCATTGGGGTACAGGCGTGGGTTAGATTGACGGCTTCGGTGTTGTTTCGGTAGTACTGCACTTGATGAATCTGGTATGCATCATCTGAGGCGAGTACGCACGATCGTGAATAGCATATGGGCTATCACTCACTTGCATGCATTCAAGATAGAGCTCTGGGTTTAGAATATAGGCTTCTTTATTGCCTTACTTTCCACAACTACAGTTGTTCGACTCATACATACGTTTGCCGTGCTGACCTCTTTTTCGGGTGTAAACCTTCAGTTCGAAAGTTTCGTACGAATGACTATATATTGTTAGGTTTTGGAATTCCCTGTTAGGATCGATTGATGAGCATGCCTATCGGTCTGGTTTCAGTCGAAGAAAATAAAAATTGTAGACGGATATCACGGAGGGCCTGTTCCGTTCTCGATGTTTCGTCTCCAATCCCATCTCAGTGTTCTAGACGGAGTTCGGATTGAGGTTAGCAGCTGGACGAAGGATTTCAACCGAACAGACCCGAAGGTGTAGAATGTATGTACTTCTTCGAGTGGCCTTTTTAGCTTTCCTCAGTTGGTATAAAGATAGTACGTGAGCCAGATTGGAAAGTTGCGATCATCTCCGTGCCAGCAATCATACAAAGAATA